GTGTTTGGTTCGAGAATGACACATAGAGCTCCTCTTTTACTTTTTTTGTATAAGAATGAAATAAAATCATAAATTATGAAGAACGTGCCGAAGGAGGTGTCCCGTGCATTGCAGGAAACACCCTAAATCTGCCATTTGAACAGAGAAGTATAAAGGTTTGTGAAAAAGATAAGTGATTTTTGAAGATAATGTTATTAATAATAATAATTGTAATAATTGGATACAAATATAGTGTGGACTGGGCATGAGCAACTATGCTAGACATCACTCCTCCCCATTAACAACATTAACAGTGCCAGTTTATGTTATTACAAATCCTGTTAATTTTATTATTACAAATCCGGTTGTGTAAGTTATTACAAATCCTGTTTAAGTTTTATTACAAATCCTGTCAACTATTTTATTACAAATCCTGGTAGTTTTTTATTAGACATCCTGTTGTTATTACAAATCCTGTTGATTTTTATTACAAATCATGTTGGTATTACAAATCCTGTCGGTTATTACAAATCTGGGTGATACACGCGCTAGGAATTTCTATTCATAAATCCCCAATCAATGAAAAAATATGGCGGCAATGGGTTGGGTTTTTAGGACCATTGCGCAAACTTTCGTTGTTTTATGCACTTTGAACAAGAGTGCTTCTACACACTCATCGTTTATTGAAGCTCTAAACGAACCCTTAAACATATGCTGTCTCGACAATTTGGAAGATTGAAAAAGAATCCAAAATTTGCCCCATGCGAGAAAGACGAAAGGTGAGGGACAAARTGAAATATAATTTCTCGCCAAAAAATCTCATTCCAAAATGTGAGCTATTTTCTTGCACCAAGTGATTTTTTAAAATTCTAAATTTAAAAATTTCACTGAAAACAAGAAAAGGTGTMGACTATCAAGTTGTACAATAGTAATGGTTAGAAATTCCTGCAAATGTCTTATCTCAGCAACATGTTTTTATAGTATCTTTTATACACAATTGACCTCTGTGTATTACAATGGACCAGCCATCTCTTTTTTGTAACATTATAATCAATGTATTATCRAGTCCATTGTACTATCAAGTCCATTATTGCTTTACATCCTCTTGAAAGGTAACTGTGCCTTTGCAACAAACTGAGATGACTATTGAGCTTGCAATGATAGAAGCCAATGAATAATTGTACAATGGTATCTATCACATTGCACTCTCTTACTTTAAAAAAAGTAGGATTGTATGATACCCTCTATCAATGTATATCTTTTGATTTGTTATCTTTCTCCATTTTGATAATTTATTCTACAAAAATGTGATGTCTTAGGATTAGTGAAGATGTACTGTCAGACAATAAAAATGAGTTTAATATTAATACAGATATCTCCAGTATCAAAATGTGCACATGTCAGAGGCATGAAATGGAAAAATTTTTTTGTAAAACCGCTGAAAACAACAACAATGGCTAGAAACATTTTTATGCATATAAACAAAAATGCTGAAATGGTTGTTATGGCAGGTGAATGTACATGTAATTAACATACATTATATATCTAATGTCCTTTTAATTAGTATTAATCAATTATCAAGAAAATAGTACAGTAACAATCTGATAGTCTAATAAAAAATCTCTGTACGAGGTGAATTTGTACATTTCTATAGGAATAGTAATCATTGATTTTATCACTATGATTTCAAAGACAACCAATATCCCACTAACATGAAAAATTGTGGTTCATAACTCCTAAACTTTTCTTTCATTGAGGAGAAATTGTTATGAGTGTCATGGAAAATAGAAAAACTGTCTTAACTATTGTAACTCAGAAACTGGTACTGGAAAGGTAGTACTAATTACCTAAAAAAATTGATAACACGATCGATCATATCACTCTTCGTCGGAATCGCCATATAATGCCTTTAACTCATTCTTTACGGCCTGTTTCAACTTTCCAGATTGAGTCATAGTAAAGACCGAGAGTTTTACCGAGGATTTTGGGATTACTTTGTTGCATTCGACCATTGACCTTGAGGTAGACCTTCAGGTAGATACAATGATAAAAAAAATATTAAGAGAAAAAATATAATAAGCTATATAATCTATCTAAAACTATAAAATATGCATATATAGTAATAAACAAAATAAAAATCCTGCTTTATAAGGATGCCGTGCTATAGTGATAATAAATAATATTAATCATAAAAGTGAAATTCACTCAGAGTGATAGGTATGTAGAGCTTTAAATGATTTCCTAGTGGTGGCKTTTCTCACTCCAGCAGGTAAATTGTTCCAGAGAAAGCCACCACTATAAGTAAAAGTTTTCTTAGCGTAATTTGTTGCGGCAATGGCAGGACAACTTTGCGTTCTATGTTTCTTAGATTATAATTGTTAATTTTGCTACGATTTGTAAATTTTGATGAAAGATATTCCGGAGCAAAATTGTTTAAAGTTTTAAACATTAATTGAGCTTTGGAAAAGGCCCTTTGTTTTTCTAGTGGCACCCATCCCAAAGCATCAAATATGTCTTTAGTACGTGTATCATAATTTGAGTTATGATTCGTGTGGCACGATTTTGAAGTTTTTGAAGTTTGTCCACTAAACCTTATGACACACATCCCAAACCGCACTACAGTATTCAAAGTGACGCTTGACAAGAGCATTGTAAACTAAGATAAATGTATCCCTAGATACGAAGCACCTGATGCGTTTCAATGCACTTATTTCCTGAGGCAACTTTCTTAGATATAGACTGTATATGGCCTTCCCAACTTAGATTCTCGTCAATTATTATCCCGAGAGATCTAGCTGAGGAAGCCTGAGTAATCTGTTTATTATTGATGGTCAAAAGAGGTTTAGTATGGAGACCAGATAGTTGCTGTCGAGATCCAATAAGCAGMAATTCTGTCTTAGACAAATCGATTGTCAGCTTATTGGCAGCGAGCCATACAAACACTCTCCTCAGATCATCGTTGACTTTGTYATTAATGTCATCAATATTGTTGCTAGCATATGTAAGGCTGGTATCATCAGTATACATTCTAGGGATTGAGTTTGACAAACACTGAGGAAAATCATTAATATAAAGAAGGTAAAGAAGCGGCCCCAAAATGATTCCCTATGGCACACAGCAAGTGATACTCAACTCCTCAGACTGAAAACCATTGACAGAGCACACCTGGGAGCGTTTTTTAGGTATGAAGAAATCCATTTCAGTTCCACTMCTTTAATTCCATAATACTGAAGCTTAGAAAGCAAGATATCATGGTCAACCGTATCAAAGACCTTTTTAAGGTCTAGAAAAACTACARAATTGACCAGTCCTTTGTCGATATTCCATGACTTTTGATACAAACGTCTGCCATCGCCGACTATGCTAATCCTAATGCAAATGTATAACAGTATTAGTAATTAGTAATATACTAATTYTATGTGTCAAAGAGTACATTATTCTAGTGACAACGGCGATAGCTAATAATAACTACTATACAGAAGATAGACGTAAAGGATGAAAACCATGGATACATTTTAACTATCTGAGACTACCCCAATTTAACTGTACAAACCTTTGGYATCTTCACTTGAGGGAAATGCTRTTTCCATAGTTTGACAAAGGCGGTTCTTGTACCACAGTCCTGTCCTTGAGAACGCAATACTTCTTTTGCCTCCGCATAGATGTCAGATTTGCTACTGTTGGATGGCAAATGCCAGATGGGCAGATTTTCTTCAAAGAAGCTTTGTAGGAAATTAAGGATTGCATTAGAAACATCTGAACGCTTAATATTTAGGGAAGCACCGTGTGCAGCATTGACGCGACCATTACAATAGTCCCTCTTYCAGCTATAAAAAGTGGATCTCGGAATACCTAGGGTTGATATCCATGCTGTATAGTGTGTTGTTATTTCACAGACACTGTAAAATTGGAACTGAGTTGGCTGATTAAAGTCAAACCACTCTAATATGAATTCTCTCTGGTGCTGATAGGTTGGATATTTCTGTTGAAATYTTTCGCTGGTTCTTGAAATTTGACCGTCACTTAGGTGACTTAGGCACAGATTATCACAACATCGCTTATCTTTCACATGTCTGGGATCTTTTATGGTGATTCTGCGCTTTCCTAAGTTAAAACATTACACGTCAGGACATAACACATGTTCGACTGAATAACGAAGTGCCGTATTATAACTTTGAATGGTTTCTTAATGGCGTTAATATGTCACATTCAARAAAATTCAAATCATGTCACCAACCCCTCCCCTCTATTTTTGTGTATGTTGAAGTAAAAATGACGTCTTATATTGGTCSAAACAGTTTATCATTTCTGTATGTTTTAATAACGTTTTCATCTTTGCACAAATACTGTTTCAATATATTGTGACCTATGCGAATTAGCAGCAGTGTGAGAGTGAAAAGGCAGCTACTAAGAACTAGCTTAACTTTAACAGTTTAACATATTCAATTTGCAATATACAGTGACAGTTAAATAATTCCAGCTATTGCAAACAACTTATAATCTAAGCCAATTTACCTCTCGTCTTTAAGGTTTGATCAGTGTCATCACTAGTCTCTACCACATCGAGACAGCATGTTTTCGCTGAATCGGTCCGGTCGTAGTAGTTGGAGGAAGATTCACCTCCGATGCTCGAAGAGGAAGATTCCCGCGCATCAAATTTTGTCTTACTGTCTACAACGACTTTCTTATTGAACAATTAACAATTAGACCTCGAGGTCGAGTGGACTACGAGCTAATAGCCTATGAGGCCGATACTAATCGGTCAAATAATGAAAACAAATTAAAATATCCTTAAAATAATTTTTTAATGAGATGCATAAAATCACGTGTCTTGTAGTTGTACATGGCAAACTTTCATACTGCAAGCGAGCGAAATTTATTCTATAGTGTTCAAAGTCTCTAAGGGAAGACAACTATCGATCAGATCTCTAAAGGCACAAATTTCCACCAATTTTATCTGTTATTTGACATGATAATGATATAACAGCAATCAAAAGAGATCTCAAGTTCAGATCAACAGTTCAACGCGTGTAGTTGTTGTTTGTGATCGAGACGTTGCAGTTATTAAAATGGAATGCTTGCGGAGCTTGAAGCTAGAAGTTATTCGCCATCTGTTGACTTAGAGCAATTCTCCCTGAATTCATCGAGGTTTAACCGACAATTTCTCTTGATGTGGAGCTTGGATATTCTATGGCTAGCTGTGAGTTGTTAGCTTCTTCGGAGACGAAGCGGCTAATGATGTTTGACATGTTTTCCTTTTGTCGGAGAGACGACCTGGAGTTATACGACTCAATTGAAGTGGTTGACTTATGACCTGTAACTGCCTTAATATGCCTGAATTCAACATTATTGTCGGCTAAAACGGTGACTGATGTTGCTCGCACGCAGTGGTTTGTCAAGTGGGGAGTGATCTCTGCTGCTTTCGACATGACTTTCATCATGTTCTCCAACGTACTCTGACCCAAGGGAGAATTACAGTACCACACAAGCTCATTTTTTGGCTGGAATTTCCCACAGGGCATTTTTGGACGCTGAAAAAGAATTTCCAATTCAGGATTTAGATGCCTCAGGTAGTTTTCAACTGTTTTAACCGGACAGCGTGCGGAATCCAAAACTTCAAACATTTTGCCGTCTGATTCGTTAGTGTTGTCATTCCAGCCTCCTTGGTGGTTCTTGCTCGCCAACAACCTGCTGAATTCATAATATTGTCGGCCTTGAGGTGTTTCTCTGAGGATTAACATGCTTTTGGTAAGTTGCCTTTGATTCTCTCTCCCTCGTTTTCCAAAATACAAGGTTATGTAAAACCAAGCTGTGCGTTGCAGTTGAGCGGGGTCAGTCGTGTCACTTTCGCCAAGTTGGCCTGTTTGATAGAGATGCTGCACTTGCTCTTTAGTAATTGCCTGTTTATGGGCAACTGAGGCAACTTTTCCCTCTTTTGCATTCTTTTTGCAGATGGCATTTAATACTTTGTTCGCAGTATGGAATTCTTTGTCTTCAACAATAGACCACGGCTTGTTTACGGGTGGCTGTCTCAAATAGCGATCAATGGCTGCCCGGATCGAGCGAAGGGAAGATACTTTGAACTCTTTTCCATCTTTTTGACGAACAGCAGCGTAAAAGATTTGCAGACATTCATTGAGCTGTTGTTTTGACATTTCTTCGATTGAAATTGTAAACCTTGTTTGGCTTCCAAACCATTCTGTAAATAAAAAAATCACTTTTATTTAAAAATGTTGTAAAAGCGACGAGATTGAAACAATTTGCAGTTAAGATTTTAAACGACACAAAAAATATTTTTTGCACATTAAAGGATTCTTACCATTGAATATCTTCATTCCGTATTTTGTTGGCCTCTTGGTTTTCTCGGGGATGGAAATATCAAGCAAATTATCAATAAAATCGTCGCCGACTATCGCGAAACGAGGCTCATCTYCAGCCGCCATTTTGATTTTCCCGCGAGTGGTCTATCACAAATTAGACCATTAGTAGAGTAGCCAATCACAGCGCAGTATGAGTGATAGACCATTAGTAGAGTAGCCAATCACAGCGCAGTATGAGTGATAGACCATTAGTATGTTTATACTAATGTCACATAGACATTAAGTTCTTGAACTTGCTCATCACTTGATGATRTGTCTTCACT